ATATACGGTATAGCAGGTTTCCGTGGCGGGTGTTAGATTTGGTGTTTTGCCTGCTCAAAGGTATGCTTATAATTTTGGCGTAATTTATTTTAGCGGACACGGGGTTCCAACTCTTTGCAAAAGAACACTAAGAAGAGTACTGAATATTTTAGCGATTATAATTTTAGACTTCGAATCCACTGCGGGACGTGGAGACCGGTCCTTCGGATGAAACCGTATAAACCGAGGTCCCGTGTCGCAGTAGGTGGCACGATAAAGATACCTCACTGCTCAATGGCCCTGAGTGCCGAGTATAGGTCAAAAATTTGCAGCCCTCAACTGGTAAGTGGTGGCCTCTCCATATGAGTGAAAAATTCTCGAGAGGGGCGTTAAACAACTAACAAAGCCAAAACGCCAAAATAAGCCAAATTTAGCACCCCGCTATAGTCTATTTGTATTCGTTTTTATAGTTTATTGTGACAACTTTTTATTAATCCCTTTATTTATGAAATGTGTTTCAAACATGCTGATGCTATATGCAAGATATTTCGATATACTTGTCGAAATTTATAAGAATTTTGTACAGAAAGTAATTTCTTAACATAGAGCTGCCATATTTTTATAACCTTTATCACATAGTCAAAAATGCTCAAACTTACGAAAAGCACTGTAAGAACCATCCTGAAAAAGTATTGACTACAAATTCGCCATTTTAATTGATAGCATTCCTTTTTTTCCTTTAAATATCAATAAGCATTTTAAAATTTTGCTTTTATAGAAAATTGCCTCTAAAGGCCATACACACGTTGCGATTAATCTTCATATATTTGATGGGATTAATGCAGCATGTGCACGATTAATACCACTTGAATACAAAAGTTGTGACGGAACATGCGATTTTTCCGGAATATTGGACTGTCCTATTGTAATTGGAAATTTTTATCAGCTGTAACCAATTAAAACATTGAAAGAAAGGTCATATATACATGTAAAATATATCAGTTATTTCTATATATGAATAAAATCAAATGAAAAGGGATAAAGATAACGAACAGTGATCAATCTCATAACTCCTGTACACAATACGAAACATACATAGGGGGAAAACATAGACCTCTGGAATCACCAGAGGTGGAATCGCGTGCCTAAAAGGAGTAAGCTTCCCCTGTCGACGAATCACATCCGCCGTGAGTCCTCTGTATTGATCAGGTAAACGGAGTAATTCATAGTAATACTCAGTAAGAATAAAATCAATACCCTAACAATCGGTAATATTGGAAATATTTCAGTCAAAGTAAAACCTAAGAATATGCTGTATTTGCAAACAAGGTCTTCATTTCGATCATAGAATATGCAAAATGCTGACTTAAATCGAATTTTTTAAATCTTCGAAACTTCGACTTATTTGTCAGTAGCCTATCTCGGTTTAAAAATCGATCGTTTTCAGAAAATTCTGTTGCGTATCAAATCAGTTGGGAGATTTGTGCAATTATTTGTAGCGTGCATACAGAGAGTTAGATGCAATATAAATTATATATTAATTGCAGTGTGTGTATATCGGCCTTTTAACACGATTGATCAATAGTTTCTACTTAATTCATTCTCATACATCAAAATCAGTTGTAGCAGTTCAAGAAAACTTTAAAATATTTCTAACTAGTTATTCAATACAATCAGTTCAATTTCAATACATTAATTCAATGAAAAATTATGAATCCGATCCGTATTTGCTGTAACTGTTTGACTGTATATATAATTAAAATATTAGAATACAATCTCAGAAATAAACTTGATGAAAAAGGTGAAGATAACGAACAGTGTTCGATCTCAAAAAAACCCATACACTATACAAATCTGTACAAATACAAAACTTATCATCTTCGCTAGCTAAGGGTTTCTGATACGCTACTCTCCTCATAAACCCTTGGCATACGGTGCTGACAAAAGACGGGATTGTTTTTGTCACGTGATCATGATTCTTACCAGGTACGCACAGATTGCGTCATCGACATAAATAAAAGCGTATTTAAAAAAAAATTGTTTTTAAAGAATAATTAACAAGAAGGTATTGAGTTATGTTAATTTGTTATTTAAACATGTAAAAATGCAAATCTACATCTTCAGTTTAGATTCTTAATCACATATTTTACACGTAGCTTTAGATATTGAATGACACCATATAGCAAATGATTGCATTACATAATTATTATACAAATGATGTGTGATTTATAATTATGTATAGCCTCACATTCTATACTAAAATATTGTGTATTTATGTATGAACAATCGATTTTTCTTATAATGTGTTGTGCCTTTGCCAATTATTGTAATTGTGTTTGTGCCAATAAATATTTGTATTTGTATTTGCTATTCATAGAATGGCATGTTATCTTACGGATCATTGTTTACTTGCGTTTTACATTACCGATATTATAGAGTCAAGATATATCCCGAACGCAAATATCGTCATTTACAAAAAACAATTGCTGATTGGTCGAACGATATCGATCAACTCCAATCACAACCTGAGAAAAAAAAATCCCAACTTTTTTTAACACCGTATGCCAAGGGCTTATGAGGAGAGTAGCGTATCAGAAACCTTGGCTAGCGAAGATGAAAACTTATAAGCTGCAAGTATTTCCCCTTCACCATAACCAAAATTATGATCAATTCATCAGGAATAGAGACAGAATAAGTCGAAATTATGAACCAAAAGTAAAAAAAAAAAAATAAACTTTGCCATTAGCCAAATTTGTATTCTAGAGAAAACTAGAAAGCACATACCTAGATTATCTTTGATAATGACCTGGGCTGCTTCTGAAATAAAAAATAATGAGTGAAAGTTATTTATAGAATATATTTCTTTGTTTGATTATAGGAATCGTTCAGAGTGGAATTATTAAGCTTTACTAATATTTTCTTTTAATTTTTTATTGTTATTTATTTTGTCGAAATCTATTTAAGTTTGTGTTTACCGCCCCTTCCTTTTTTTTATAATAAGTTTTCCGTAGATCGCCAGTATTCTGCATTCCTTTTTTTCCTAATGTTTTTTTCTTTATTTAAATTTTGTTTATTCGTTAATCATACTCTGTTTATAATTCTGGTTACTTTTACATAAAATTTCATCACTTGGTGTTGCTGGTATCAAAATCAATTTTGCTAGATTTTTGTCAAAAAATAATCAGGCACCAAATAGAAACCACAGCAGCTAAAGACGAGGATAAAGGTGAATTTTCATTAATTATGCAACTGATAAGTTATCCAGTAAATAGAAATAATCCTGTGTTTGAAATTGGACATGTTTTGTTTGTTTGTATGTTGTTTAACGTCCCTCTCGAGAATTTTTCCACTCATATGGAGACGCCACCACTTGCCGGTGGAGAGCTGCAAATTTTGTCCTATACTCGGCACTTATGGCCATTGAGCAGTGAGGGATCTTTTTCGTGCCAGCACCTACTGCGACACGGGACCTCGGTTTATACTGTCTCATCCGAAGGACCGGTCTCCACGTCCCACAGTGGGATTCGAACCCGCGACGTAAGGATCAACTCCTTACTTCGCGACTCTAGAGTAGACGCTCTAACCACTGGAAATTGGACATGAATCAATTGTGTTTATTTAATTAAATATCTACAAAAACAAAACAGTGCTACATTCTACATTATTCATTATAATTTTTGTAACAACTAGAGTAAAAGAGCACTCTACGGTATAAGATATAAAGTATAATGTAATCCTGCTGAATGTCATGATAAAGGAAGGTAATTAATGTTCTTGTCTGCACAAGTTGTATATGTATAATTACTTCTACGCTCCTTGTTGCTCGGCCATTTTATTTTGTAAACATTGCTGTTAATATCTAAGTTGATATAAATTTCCTTTTTTTGTTTTATGTAAACATCATGATTAGTGAATGAGTGCTTTCAAATTTAGTTTAAACATCCCTTGTGCAATGTTTCCTCTTTTTCTGGCAATTTACAGGAAAACACTTAATTTGAAATTCATCGTAATCGTCCAAAATCGAAAATAAGATGATTACACTTGACATAGTCTTATAATCTTGACGCCTAAAGCTATAAACATGTTTTGATATAATTATAAGTACACGATTTGAACTTGCTGAAAACCCAGAGGCGTGCACATGATGTAAAATGCTGATTTATACACAAGTAACATGTTTAACATGTCATAATTTTCGTAACATTAAGCAAACATTACAGATTACATATATAAACAGTGGCTTTTTAAAAAATTCTTTTATATTTACAAATCAATAAATAATCTTGTATGATCAAAAACCCATATAATAGTTACTTAGTCTATTTTTCAAAATATTACACATTCTTTGAAGGAATTTATGTATTTTCATTTTTCAGGTGCTCTTCAACTAATTTTTTTAAATTAGTGCTTAGACAAGCATTTATTTTGAAGTCTGCAAAAGAAATATCTAAAACATAAAACTTTTTAATATTAAATGATTTCTATCTAAATTATAAAAACGTTTTGAAATTAAAGATTTCATTTGATTTACGTACCTGCTGTACAAGAAAAAATTGCACAGACAAATGTTATTACTTCCCTCAGTAACATATCTGTCACAGTGAAAACACCTTCAATGGCGAATGTTCCGCTTTTTATACAGGGTTTTTTGTCGGAATGACAGCTTGGTCATAAATAGTCATCGTCGTAAGATACATTACCTGCGCGCGCTCTGAACTACGCAACACGAAATGTACGTCAAAACACGCTAAAATATTCATTCGACTAATTATTTTTTATTTAAATGAGTCATATAAATATTAAAAAAAAAATAAATAAATAAGAATGAAAAATCACATTTACCTTAAAAGGCTGTTCATAATATTATAATAAATTCTTTATTCAAGACAAAATATAAACAAGAAAAAAAGTTGGCGACATAATAATCTAATTCAATTTAAGAAAGTTTAATCCAATGCAAAACTGGAAGGGCTTTGATATTAACATTCTCAGTTTTTTTGAAATCAACAAAAAAGAATTGTTCAGTTTCTGAGATAATTAACATTATGCAATGCATGTATTTACATTGACATACATGATTTCAACAGCACAAACAGTATTTTCTAAATAAAGGTATTGAAGGGAGTGAAATTTCTTTTTATATTTAAAATTTTCCTTTATCAAAACAGAATCAAAACCATTTGTAACATACAAGTATTGTGAAAAAATGTAAAAATATACAAACTTTATATGTTAGTGTGATCAATGGAAAATGTATTATTATACAATATTAACTAGAGGAATTGTGAGAACTTAACTCACAAAATGATACCCCCTGCTCCAAAGAGTATAATGGCAAAGTCCATATTTTGCTTTGGGAAACCCCAAATATCTTTCCGATCAGAACATGAAATAGGAGTTGCACAATGGAACTATGTAAGAAAGATTCTGTGAAAGTCTCATGAAATTTTATTCATTGGTATAGGAGGAGTTGTGGATAAGAGATGGATCCCCCAATATAAATGAAAGAGTGGCAGTGTTCATGCTTTGCTATTGGAAACCCTATTTATCTGCCTGGTCAAAAATTAAAATAGGAGTTCACAATGGTACAATGTCAAAAAGATTCTGTGAAAGTCTCATTAAATTTTATTCAGGATAGGAGGAGTTGCGGATAAAAAATGAGTACCCCCCAAATGTTACCGACCTACGGAAGGACGGATACACTTATCACTATATACCCCCCCCCCCCATTTTTTCAAACAGGAAGTGGTATAAAGATAAATGATAAATAATGGTCTAGTACTATTAGCTTTAATTTTAAGTAAAGAAATGAGAAAAAAATAATGAAAATCGCATCTTTCTCTTTTCTATTTTGTTTGAGTTTTTTCTTCTTCAAGAACGTCATGCCATTTTTTTTGAATTTGTGTACATACTGGAGTATAAACCCCATATGCAGGTGATAAGGGTATATTGCTACATAAGTGAGGGAAGTTGACGATTGAAAAAAAAGAAGTCATCAAGTTTATCATAAAGATTTGTTGTTAGGTTACCATTAACGTCTTTTTCTAGTAAAATATCCATATATGAAACAGATGTGTTCGACTCTGTGGTTTCTTTTATTTCAAGCTCACTGGGATATATCGAGTCGACATATAAATGGAAGTAACTATTGTTAATTGATAATACGTCGTCGATATATATAAATGTCGAGTTGAAGGCCACAGCAAGTGTTTTCTTCTTCTCATGTAGAAGTTTTTGAATAAATTCTGCTTCATATTAATACAAAAATAGGTCTGCTAATAACGGGGCGCGATTGGTACCCATGGGAATGTTGGAAAACCTGATCTCCAAAAACTACATAGATATTCTCAATCAGAAACTCATGCATCCTTTTAATATCAACTTCAGAGTACTTGTGATCAGAATCAGAATGTTTTTTAACTAAATAATTTTGGGACAGCGTAATTTTATTTTCAAGTTCCATTTTTATTGAAAAAGCAGCTTTCTGTGATGTCAAAAAGCCTAGACTTCAATTCATCGCGGGGAATGGTTGTATAAAGTGTTGAAAAGTCGTACGTTTTGATGTGATTGATTTTATTAAAATTTTGTGATTTCAAATTTTCTAAAATTTCCTTGGAGTTTTTAAGTATCTACATCTGATTTATACCACTTCTCGAATACGCTGTTGCACAGTACTCCTGAAGTTTCTCCTTCATTACAGGTTTAACCCAAAGTAGTAAAAAAATTCCAAAATTGAAGAACATTATTTCCTAATAATGGTTATCAAGAGAAATGATGATTTAATATACCAGTGTATAATATATTTGAGAATATAAGAATTATCACTAATTAACCCTGGGGAACATAGAGAATCATCGCTGCATTCCAAATGGCATTGAACAACACATGTTGCAATAGCCCCGAGTTAGTATTGAATCATCAAGGAAGATAAAACTATTTTTGTTTTTAATTGGATTGTTGTGGATTTATTTTTGAAATGACTGACAAGAACAGGTTGTATTGAGATAAATACTAGATTCTCTTGGTTTTAATTTTACTTATTCTTGAAAAGTAAATGCATTTAATAAATCTTTACGTGTACAGTATTTCAGAAACTTTAAATCAACAAGCTTTATCCCAGGAATTCTATTTAAAGCATGGATAAATATTTACTTTTCAGAATACACACAGATACTGTAAAATCGGTATGTATCGTACAGGTTCAATTTTGCCAATAATTTTCTGTGTATCCCTTACCCACTGTTTCACAATTTCGAAGAAATTTGACTTTTTAAAAATATATCTGTTATAACGAGACGTTGGCCTGGAAAATACGTTCTTAAAAATATTTTGATTTTAAGCAGTCAAGAAAACGTCCCCATGACTTCAAATGATTCCCAAGTATTTGAACGTATGGAAACTATGTTTGAAGATGTCACTTTTTCAATCTTTCTCTTTCTTGCCTTTACACAACTCTCTGATTATTCCTCCCACTACCACAGATGCTCCCACTGCCAAGATCCCTGTCAAGGCTTTGTCTGCCTGCGGTGGAAAAATTCATACATTAATTCAAAATTTCAATTGTGTCAAAGGAGATGGTTGAATAATCTGGCACAAAAACTACACCTTTTTTCTTTTACTTTATTATTCTGTTTTAATGAAATGTGAAGATAGCGAACAGTAATCAAAGTCATAATTCTAGTGAATGTAAAATGTGAAGATAACGTACAGTAATCAAAGTCATAATTCTAGTGAATGTAAAATGTGAAGATAACGAACTGTAATCAAAGTCATAATTCTAGTGAATGTAAAATGTGAAGATAACAAACAGTAATCAAAGTCATAATTCTAGTGAATGTAAAATGTGGAGATAACGAACAGTAATCAAAGTCATAATTCTAGTGAATGTAAAATGTGAAGATAACAAACAGTAATCAAAGTCATAATTCTAGTGAATGTAAAATGTGGAGATAACGAACAGTAATCAAAGTCATAATTCTAGTGAATGTAAAATGTGAAGATAACAAACAGTAATCAAAGTCATAATTCTAGTGAATGTAAAATGTGAAGATAGCGAACAGTAATCAAAGTCATAATTCTAGTGAGTGTAAAATGTGAAGGTAACAAACAGTAATCAAAGTCATAATTCTAATGAGTGTAAAATGTGAAGGTAACAAACAGTAATCAAAGTCATAATTCTAGTGAATGTAAAATGTGAAGTTAACAAACAGTAATCAAAGTCATAATTCTAGTGAATGTAAAATGTGAAGATAACAAACAGTAATCAAAGTCATAATTCTAGTGAATGTAAAATGTGGAGATAACGAACAGTAATCAAAGTCATAATTCTAGTGAATGTAAAATGTGAAGATAACAAACAGTAATCAAAGTCATAATTCTAGTGAATGTAAAATGTGAAGATAACAAACAGTAATCAAAGTCATAATTCTAGTGAATGTAAAATGTGAAGATAGCGAACTGTAATCAAAGTCATAATTCTAGTGAATGTAAAATGTGAAGTTAACAAACAGTAATCAAAGTCATAATTCTAGTGAATGTAAAATGTGAAGATAACGTACAGTAATCAAAGTCATAATTCTAGTGAGTGTAAAATGTGAAGATAACGTACAGTAATCAAAGTCATAATTCTAGTGAATGTAAAATGTGAAGATAGCGAACTGTAATCAAAGTCATAATTCTAGTGAATGTAAAATGTGAAGATAGCGAACTGTAATCAAAGTCATAATTCTAGTGAATGTAAAATGTGAAGATAACGAACAGTAATCAAAGTCATAATTCTAGTGAATGTAAAATGTGAAGATAACGTACAGTAATCAAAGTCATAATTCTAGTGAATGTAAAATGTGAAGATAACAAACAGTAATCAAAGTCATAATTCTAGTGAGTGTAAAATGTGAAGATAACAAACAGTAATCAAAGTCATAATTCTAGTGAGTGTAAAATGTGAAGATAACAAACAGTAATCAAAGTCATAATTCTAGTGAATGTAAAATGTGAAGATAACGTACAGTAATCAAAGTCATAATTCTAGTGAGTGTAAAATGTGAAGATAACGTACAGTAATCAAAGTCATAATTCTAGTGAATGTAAAATGTGAAGATAGCGAACTGTAATCAAAGTCATAATTCTAGTGAATGTAAAATGTGAAGATAGCGAACTGTAATCAAAGTCATAATTCTAGTGAGTGTAAAATGTGAAGATAACAAACAGTAATCAAACTCATAATTCTAGTGAATGTAAAATGTGAAGATAACGAACAATAATCAAAGTCATAATTCTAGTGAATGTAAAATGTGGAGATAACGAACAATAATCAAAGTCATAATTCTAGTGAATGTAAAATGTGAAGATAACGAACTGTAATCAAAGTCATAATTCTAGTGAGTGTAAAATGTGAAGATAGCGAACAGTAATCAAAGTCATAATTCTAGTGAGTGTAAAATGTGAAGATAACGAACTGTAATCAAAGTCATAATTCTAGTGAGTGTAAAATGTGAAGATAACAAACAGTAATCAAAGTCATAATTCTAGTGAATGTAAAATGTGAAGATAACGAACAGTAATCAAAGTCATAATTCTAGTGAGTGTAAAATGTGAAGATAACAAACAGTAATCAAAGTCATAATTCTAGTGAGTGTAAAATGTGGAGATAACAAACAGTAATCAAAGTCATAATTCTAGTGAATGTAAAATGTGAAGATAACGTACAGTAATCAAAGTCATAATTCTAGTGAATGTAAAATGTGAAGATAGCGAACTGTAATCAAAGTCATAATTCTAGTGAATGTAAAATGTGAAGATAACGAACAGTAATCAAAGTCATAATTCTAGTGAATGTAAAATGTGAAGATAACGAACAGTAATCAAAGTCATAATTCTAGTGAATGTAAAATGTGAAGATAACGAACAGTAATCAAAGTCATAATTCTAGTGAGTGTAAAATGTGGAGATAACGTACAGTAATCAAAGTCATAATTCTAGTGAGTGTAAAATGTGGAGATAACGTACAGTAATCAAAGTCATAATTCTAGTGAGTGTAAAATGTGGAGATAACGTACAGTAATCAAAGTCATAATTCTAGTGAATGTAAAATGTGGAGATAACGAACAATAATCAAAGTCATAATTCTAGTGAGTGTAAAATGTGAAGATAACGAACTGTAATCAAAGTCATAATTCTAGTGAGTGTAAAATGTGAAGATAACAAACAGTAATCAAAGTCATAATTCTAGTGAATGTAAAATGTAAAGATAACGTACAGTAATCAAAGTCATAATTCTAGTGAATGTAAAATGTGAAGATAACGAACAGTAATCAAAGTCATAATTCTAGTGAATGTAAAATGTGAAGATAACAAACAGTAATCAAAGTCATAATTCTAGTGAGTGTAAAATGTGGAGATAACAAACAGTAATCAAAGTCATAATTCTAGTGAATGTAAAATGTGAAGATAGCGAACTGTAATCAAAGTCATAATTCTAGTGAATGTAAAATGTGAAGATAACGAACAGTAATCAAAGTCATAATTCTAGTGAATGTAAAATGTGGAGATAACGAACAGTAATCAAAGTCATAATTCTAGTGAGTGTAAAATGTGAAGATAGCGAATAGTAATCAAAGTCATAATTCTAGTGAATGTAAAATGTGAAGATAACGAACAGTAATCAAAGTCATAATTCTAGTGAGTGTAAAATGTGGAGATAACAAACAGTAATCAAAGTCATAATTCTAATGAGTGTAAAATGTGAAGATAACAAACAGTAATCAAAGTCATAATTCTAGTGAGTGTAAAATGTGAAGATAACGTACAGTAATCAAAGTCATAATTCTAGTGAATGTAAAATGTGAAGATAACAAACAGTAATCAAAGTCATAATTCTAGTGAATGTAAAATGTGAAGATAACAAACAGTAATCAAAGTCATAATTCTAGTGAATGTAAAATGTGAAGATAACGAACAGTAATCAAAGTCATAATTCTAGTGAATGTAAAATGTGAAGATAACAAACAGTAATCAAAGTCATAATTCTAGTGAATGTAAAATGTGAAGATAACAAACAGTAATCAAAGTCATAATTCTAGTGAATGTAAAATGTAAAGATAACGTACAGTAATCAAAGTCATAATTCTAGTGAATGTAAAATGTGAAGATAACGTACAGTAATCAAAGTCATAATTCTAGTGAATGTAAAATGTGAAGATAACAAACAGTAATCAAAGTCATAATTCTAGTGAATGTAAAATGTGGAGATAACGTACAGTAATCAAAGTCATAATTCTAGTGAGTGTAAAATGTGAAGATAGCGAACAGTAATCAAAGTCATAATTCTAGTGAATGTAAAATGTGAAGATAACAAACAGTAATCAAAGTCATAATTCTAGTGAATGTAAAATGTGAAGTTAACAAACAGTAATCAAAGTCATAATTCTAGTGAATGTAAAATGTGAAGATAACGTACAGTAATCAAAGTCATAATTCTAGTGAGTGTAAAATGTGAAGATAACGTACAGTAATCAAAGTCATAATTCTAGTGAATGTAAAATGTGAAGATAGCGAACTGTAATCAAAGTCATAATTCTAGTGAATGTAAAATGTGAAGATAGCGAACTGTAATCAAAGTCATAATTCTAGTGAGTGTAAAATGTGAAGATAACGTACAGTAATCAAAGTCATAATTCTAGTGAATGTAAAATGTGAAGATAACGTACAGTAATCAAAGTCATAATTCTAGTGAGTGTAAAATGTGAAGATAACGTACAGTAATCAAAGTCATAATTCTAGTGAATGTAAAATGTGAAGATAGCGAACTGTAATCAAAGTCATAATTCTAGTGAATGTAAAATGTGAAGATAGCGAACTGTAATCAAAGTCATAATTCTAGTGAGTGTAAAATGTGAAGATAACAAACAGTAATCAAACTCATAATTCTAGTGAATGTAAAATGTGAAGATAACGAACAATAATCAAAGTCATAATTCTAGTGAATGTAAAATGTGGAGATAACGAACAATAATCAAAGTCATAATTCTAGTGAATGTAAAATGTGAAGATAACGAACTGTAATCAAAGTCATAATTCTAGTGAGTGTAAAATGTGAAGATAGCGAACAGTAATCAAAGTCATAATTCTAGTGAGTGTAAAATGTGAAGATAACGAACTGTAATCAAAGTCATAATTCTAGTGAGTGTAAAATGTGAAGATAACGAACAGTAATCAAAGTCATAATTCTAGTGAGTGTAAAATGTGGAGATAACAAACAGTAATCAAAGTCATAATTCTAGTGAATGTAAAATGTGAAGATAACAAACAGTAATCAAAGTCATAATTCTAGTGAATGTAAAATGTGAAGATAACAAACAGTAATCAAAGTCATAATTCTAGTGAATGTAAAATGTGAAGATAACAAACAGTAATCAAAGTCATAATTCTAGTGAATGTAAAATGTGAAGTTAACAAACAGTAATCAAAGTCATAATTCTAGTGAATGTAAAATGTGAAGATAACGTACAGTAATCAAAGTC